GAACCCTTATAAATCAGCTGGTCCTGACAGTGCACATCTCGCCATAGTTAAGCCACTGGCTCATATCCTTCAGTATCCTGTCGTGGAGTTATTCAACCAGTCTCTTCAAGTAGGCAATCTGTCGTACGATTAGAAGAAGGCGACCATTGTTGCCATCCACAAAGGGGGTTCTAAATCGGTGTCTCTTAACTATGGACCTGTTAGTTTGACCAGCATCATGCTGAAGTGCTTGGAAAAGTTTATAAGAAATAGGATCTGTGAGCACTTGACTGAGCACAATCTAATTAGAGCGGAACAGCATGGCTTTCTTAAAAAGAAGTCGTGTCTTACCAATTTATCGTGCTTTTTGCATGGGATTACCCGATGTCTTGATATTGGGATGTCAGTAGAGGTGTGCCATTTGGACTACAGTAAAGCCTTTGACTCAGTGAATCATCGATTTTTAATTGAGAAGCTGACATGGTTTAGATTGCATCCTCAACTATTACTGTGGCTCTCTGAATTCTGACGTGGAAGGACATTCAGAGTCTGGGTTGGCGAAGCGAGTTCTAATGTGGGCCATGCCTACAGCGGTGTTACCCAGGGTTCGGTACTGCGTCCATTGTTGTGTCTTATGTTTATAAATGACCTCGCTCCTCTTCTTGAGGATCCCTGCTATCTCTTCGCAGATGACTTAAAGCTAGTTAGTAGGAGAAGCCGAGCGACATTGGCTAAGGACATAATCACTGTGGTGAATTGCTCGAGCCAGTGGGATCTATCTCTGAATACCAATAAATGTCAGCTATTGACCAATAGTAATAGCAGAATGGCAGTGCAGTCTCCTGCTTGATCTCTATCATTGCAGTGTACTGATGAAGCCCGTGATCTAGGTGTCATCATAGTGAACCATTTTAAGCCTTCGGCACAGTGTCGCAATGCTGCCAATAAAGCGCCACAAGAGTTGGTTCGTCTTAGGAGGGCGCTGAGTAACACTAGAGCAGAACTATTCTTACCGTTGTATAAAGCAGTGGTTAGGCCACATCTGGAGTATTGTGTTCAGGCCTGGGCACCGTACCTCCGTAGCGACGCCATGTGCATAGAAAAGATTCAGTGACTTGCGACCAGGATGATCGAAGGTCAACGAGGGAAGTCGTACGAAGATCGTCTAAGTAGCTTGGGATTATTTTCCTTGGAACGGCCTAGGTTGAGAGGGGATTTGCTAGAGGCGTTTAAGATCATTAAGGGACTTAGTGGTATTAGTCCCACCCATCTGTTCAACTTGGCTATGTCGGACCATCTGCGCGGGCATCGCCTGAAGCTCAAACAAAATAGAGCCCGTTTGGACATCAGGGCAAAATTTTTTACGAACCGGGTAGTTAACATTTGGAATAAACTTCCTTCTGATTTATTGGAATGTGAATCTGTAGAAGCCTTCAAATGGGGCTTAGATGGGTGTTGGTCTGTCCTTTTCCGAGAAATATGGTAATTGTACTGGAACATGTAGTGTATTTTGATGCTGACATTTCAAGACCCTAACCACTAATATGTTTGTGAAGCTCTTCTCAGCGTTCGTGCAACCCCACCTGGAATATTGCCTCCAGACCTGTCCATCATGCCTTGTCCGGGACAAAATGACACTAGAAAGAGTGTTGCGTGTCGGTACTAGGTTGGTCGAGGGGTTACGAGGACAAACATACCCCGAACACCTACTTAGTTTGGGGTTGCATTCAATGCATTATCGAATGATTAGTGGGGACCTAATCCTAACCTACCGTATTTTAACTGGGAAGGTTGGCCCTGATTTGTCCTGGCTGTTTAGTCCTGCTAGATTAACTGGTTTCCGCAGGCATTGTATGAAGCTGGACAAAGCGCGGTCCGATCGAGTTAGAGCGGAGACACGGTTATCGCGTCGAGTCATCGAGCGCTGGAACTTGCTTCCAGAAAATGTTGTCAAGGAAGCTACAGTTAAGAGGCTTAAGCGTCAACTAGATGCTCTTGGGTGGCAACGCGGAAACGTTCCTTTTTCCTAATTCCCATCTTCATATTTTGCTTCTATGTTCTGTATTTTCCCTCACCATTGGTATTATCCTCTTCTTTTAACTGATTTCCCTTACTCTTCCATTGTTGCTCACTTACTTCACGTAACTGGCATAGCAGGGACAGCTAATGCAAGGAACGTGGGCATTACATTGGTGGACCAGGATGCTTTTTCGGGTGTTTTCGTTTTAGATCCATAAAGAATTCGGAGCGCCCTATCAACTCCTGGATCAGTGACCTGCTCACGAAGGAACACTTATGGGATTCATCCTATCGTTCCAGTCCCTCTTGAACTTAAACTTGTCGTTTCCTCTTTTTTACCCACGTATTTCGTATTCCATATCCTTAGAGCCACCATCATTGGATCATTGGATGCTAGAGAGCAGAAGGAAGATCCTTTGTCAGCTCCTTCACTTCCCGATCATTACGGAGATGATATGGGTCATTTCGGAAAAACGTTCCTCTGAGGACCACTGTAGCTGTATTAGAGACAGCAGAATCCCAGCTCACTCAGGTGAGAATCCAACAGTTGTTTGAAACGTTCCTCTGTCTCAGCATCAACGATAGGCTCCGGCAACCGGTTTCAGTCATTCACTACGCGAGTTGTTAAGGCCAGATTGAGCCGCACACGGAGTTTCCTCGGTTTGAACAGTTTCAAGCGGTGGCCTCGTGTCGAACTCTCAGTGTTGAGTTGAAAGAAGTTCTGTAACTCGCACCCCAGTTCTCCTCTGAGAATACGTCGAGTGAATATCAAATCTCCTCAGTGATGGCGATAACCTAGAGAGAACAAGTTCAGTCGTTGAAGTCGGATTTGGATCCACGCCGTTGATCCTTCTCTATCATACCACATTCGGATTTGGTGAGGGGATAGGCAGCGGGTAGCTCGTATTCGAGAATCGGGCGTACATGCGAGCCAAAGAGGAGTCGGGAAGCCCCCGGGGTCAGGAGATAAAACCATCTACTTATAGAATGGAACATCCTATAGACCGCAGCGACCCTGTTGTGGGTGTCTTGACTAGATTTGTGGTCTGATGATACTATCACTCTAACATCCCTCTCTTGGGTTGCGCTTCTGAGCAAGGAACCACCAATGTGGGTTATATGGGCCAACGGGGAGAACAGAGCATTTATCACAATTTACGGGCAACTGCCATTTAATCGACCAATCATGGAGTAGATCGAGCCTAGTTTGTAATCTGTCAGCGTCTTCAAGGCTGGATACTTCCATCCATAGCTTCAGGTCGTCAGCGTAGATTAAGCAGTTCGTCTGAATAGTAAGTCGTTGGTGAAAATATTGAAAAGTACGGGACCGAGGACAGAGCCCTGTGGGACTCCACTGGTCATGAGAACAGGAGCAAAAATGTGTCATTCACCTTCACTTGCATAGAGCGGTCGTTTGGGAAGTCGGATCCAAGACAGCAGGTTCCCAGAAATACCGATTCCTTGAAGTTTAGACAGAAGCCGTTCATGCGAGACCTTATCAAAATCTTTGCTGTAGTCAACAAACAACGTCCAATGACATTCTGTCCCCAAGATGAACAGCCTGTTTTAAGATCCGTTCCATAACTTCACACACTATTGACGTCAAACAGATTGGACGATAATTGGCTGGATCGTGTCAAGTTCCTCCGTGGTAGATGGGTTTTACGATTCCCACTTTCCAAGCTGACGGAAGACGGCCAGCTTCTAGTGAGCGACGAAAGACTTGACATATGGGTGAAGCTATGTACTCCGCCACAGTCCTGAGGAACAAATGATGCAATCCATCAGGGCCGGGTGAGCTCTACGGATCTAACTCAAGTAGTTTCATCACAGAATCAATGTTAATGTCTACCTGGGCCAACGAATATGGAAAGGTGGATGCGGCTCTGTCACTAAATGGTGTTTCTTTCACGTAAACAGAAGCGTACTGCTTAGCCAAGTGACTAGCTTTCTCAGCGTCTTCGTGAAGTAAAGCTTGTTGATCACAGGCATACAAAGAAGGGATGCCATTACCAGCTCTGGTACTTCTTTTCAAATAAGAGTAGAGCATTTTAGGCGCGATTCTGGAGTGTTTTGCCAAGGATAGTTCGTATTCTGGGAGCTGCTGGCGCTTCATCGCGACACAAACTTTTCTGACAGTCTTGTAGTGAGAGAAGTCGGGTTCTGAATGAGATTGCCTAAAGCGGTCGCATACGTTGCGCCTTCTGTTCAAAGGTGACCTCAATTTTCGATTCATCCAAGGTGGACCTCTAGTGCAGGGCTTTTGATGGGAGGAGGGAACGACCTGCTCAGTTAGCGACGTCATTTTGAAGACTACAAGATTCCACGCGTCTTTAAGTTGAATAAATTCAGGGATACCCCAATCCATTTTCAGACGGAGTGGATCGGCACGCTAAAAAATTCCGTCGGTGACCACTGTGGCTATGGATTGTGAGACGGCGAGCCCACTGGAATGAAACCACACAATGATAGCTCTTGCCTATGAGTTGAAGAAAGGTTAGGTTCGTGACGTCCGACTCTGCCGAGGAGAGCACGAGATCTAGAATGTGCGGGGTCTGCTCTGGCAAAATACGATTTAGTTTCACCAAACCAAGACAGGAAATCATCCGCTAAAGTAAAGTTGACTTCGCAGTCGTATGAGTGAACTAAAATCATTGTCCCCAGTTTGCCCCACGCAAGTCGTCTAATGCAATGCGGTCTGATAAACGAATTTCCACACATGAAGATGAGTCGGCAAATTTCGTATTCCATCTAAGGGCTCTTTGAGAGAGAGGTACGCTTGAATCTTCATACCGTACAGGAAATCTGCATATCCAGCTATCTGAGTTATTTGGGGCTTCGTAGCCCTTTTACGTTAGACGAACATAGCAAACTCCACGTTTCTCGCTCCCATTTCTTCAAACATTTCCAACTCTATGCTTTTCAGGTGAAATTTAAAGAGTTAAGAAAGCAAAGAGCACCGTGGCTTTGACATACTTGCGCAATCAGTTTGTTTCCTGGCTATGAAGGTTGCTTTCGTAAGTTTGTAATGTTTTTCTCATCCCTCAGGTTACTGGTTCCAATAGAGGGATAGGATTTGGAATTGTTGCCAAACTGGCACATACATATGGTTCCACCGGAGAGTGGGACGTCTATCTAACAGGTAATTCGCTATTGTTATCCAACTGGTGTGCAGCTCGAAATGTTGACTTGGGCAAAAAGGCATGTGAGGAATTAAAAGGCAAAGGCCTCCAGGTTAAGTTCCATCAGCTGGATATTACCGATGCTGAGAGCCGGAAAAGTTTCCTGGCGTACATGAAAGCCCATTATCCAGACGGGATCAACATCGCCGTTAATAATGCTGGTATATATAAAGTAACTTCAATGGTTTGCTCATCACTTTGCAGGACGATTCAACCGCTCCATTTGGCGAACAAGCTAGGGTTACTGTGCACACTAATTTTACCTGCACCTTTGATTTCACATTGGAATTTCTTCCTCTGCTCGCAGAGAACGCCAGGTATCCTTTGGAGCAATTTGCCTCAATTCCGCAGAGTTGTCAATGTGTCTAGCATGTGTGCTCATATGACACTGAAACAACTGGGAGATGATTTGTACACTAAGTTCACTTCAGTGATGAGTTGGGACGAACTGAAAGCTTTGATTGGGGAATTCTTGAAGTGAGTCGGTCTTTCTTTTTTGCCCCTTTACCTCCAGCTCACCCAACAAACAACCTTACTTCTGCTATCTGCTAGTGCCTCTGGGCTTTTCAAATTAGATGTAGTGGGCCCTGTTTACTCAAACGAGGGCCTGAAGTGGTCTGATGAGCGATCTAATGTTTATAGAGTTGTAGCGAGCATGAAGGCTTGTCATATGCTTTGCTTTCGGTTCATTGCACATTGACGCGAAACGACGTTCCTGTGGCAACTGCGTCAAAGACAGAAACCCCATCTTTCTCCTCAGTCTGGTATCTAACAAGAGTTTGGAAATTTTCTTCAACGTTGCGTCGATGGTGGGCTTCTGCAGGCTTTTCCAATCATTCAAAACTCGGGTGAATAGGACGACATTGAGACAAATTTGAAGCATGTGTGATTTCTTGTCGTCGGCGTTAAGCTGAAGTAACTGTTATGACTCCCTCCCAATCAGCAACAGCAGTACATGAGCCACTCAAACTGATGCTTCGCTGCCATACAGCCATGGTAACCTATGGAATAAAGAATAAGTGGGAGAGAAGGGAGGACTTAATGCCCTAAGCAAACATTCCGCGTCAAGGCACCTACACATTGTGTAACAACATACCGTCATAATCCGCTGATTATCATGCAAAGGTACGACAGTATCAGCGAGATAGCTTCCCTACGGCTTTCGCTGCCCACGTCATAATTAACCATTACCCCGTAGACAACCCAGCACCAAACATACATTAGACAGATATTCCGGCTAGGAGACAACAACAGGCTCGCTACTGGTGTCGACTGCGAGTTAGATCATGTTAAGTCTCGATCTAAGCAACAGGCGAGTCGCATGGACTCCATCCGGGAAGGCGAGAAGGACCAGTGGCATCCAGTTTCGTCGTCAGTGACTTTATTTCACGGTAAATGGGTTAGAAAGGTGGACAGTTGTCGATTTGGTGATTAGAATCAAGCAAGTGTGCCAACACGGCGCTCATCACACTTTCGTTCCCACCATCGCGTAGATTAGCCGGACAATGCTCACGTATTCTCTTAGATAGCCTCCTAGTAGTTCTTCCGATGTACCTTGCTCGACACGAACAAGGGAAGGAATATACACAGTAAGAAGCACATGACTAATGAAGTCTGTCTTTGAGTTGAGGCCTCACGATTGGTGTCGAAGTAAAGCTTAGCCGCAAACTCGCTGTGTATTAGGTATGGCTCATAGCGTCGGATAACCTTCTTGATGTTGCCTGCGCTATACCATCCCCCTTGAACGGCAACGACAGATAAAGCGATTTCTTTTCTACCGAAGCTGATTTAGCTCTCATTTCCCTGCATTCTATATATTTCCGAACAAATTTTTCTGGATAACCATTTCTCTCGAAAACGCCACTTAAGAAACTGAGCTCGTCCGCAAGTGTGTCCTCACTACAAATCCTGCTGGCCCTTTCGGTTAGACATCTAATCAAGTTGTTTTCCTGATGTATCGGGACAAAACTGACAAAATGTATATATTGTCCGTTCCACGTTGCTTTTCTATGCACCCTCCGTTGGACGGATTCATCTGGTCTTCTACTAAGCCGAACGTCTAGGAAGGACATCATGTCACTGCCTTCAGTTTCTAGGGTGAACTTGACCTTAGGGTGTTTTGAGTTAAAATGGGATAAAATTGTCTCTGAGCAACAGTGCCTGTCTGTCAAGAAAAATATATCATCCACATATTGTCCGTAATATGATAGACCAGTAATGACTCCACTCAGATAAGTATTCTCTAATTTGCTCATGAACACATCCGCCAGTAGCGAGCCAAGCGGTGAGCCCATTGCTACTCCATCTTTTTGTCTGTATATGGCCCCGTTAAACTGAGATTGCATGTTACTAGTAAAAAGCATGAGTGGCTTTTTTAATCGATCACTTGAAAGGCCGACACCCAATTGATGGTCTCGATTGGTGTCACATATATAGTCTATTGTCTCTTCTAACGGAATATTAATGAAGAACGACACCATATTCAACGAAAACATCTTTCTTCTGGTTAGCTGAAGCTGTCTTATGGAGTCTAAGAAACTGAATGTCTCGTAGGCTTTACCTGGACATAATGTTTCTCACCGGCTCTAGATACTTAGCTAACCACTTATTATGTTTTACCCTAGAAAATGAGCTCGTAGATGGAGGGGGAGACTAAAAGGGATGGGGAGGGACAAAGAAACTCACAGCAGGATCGCCACTGAGATCGGCTCCTTGCCATGTCAGCAAGTGTATCCAGCCAAACGTGTTCACCGTCTTTTGGACCCCAACCAGGGAGCCGCGACGCTCCAACCGAGGCCAGCTCAGAAGTGATGGACTTCATTCATCTAGAACAAGTCATCGCTTGGCCACCTCTCTTCTTCTTCCATCCACATCCCCGGTGAGCAAACAACGCACGTCGCGGGAGTCGATGGGCTGGCATGCGTAACACGTGGCCGAGCCATCAGAGCCTGGTGCATGAAATAACGGTGCTGAGCGGTTCAGATCCTTTGCGTGGGCCGTAAACAATGCGTTGAACACGCACATTACTCACGCGGTGTTCCCACCATATGTGAGCCAAATTGCGAAGGCACCGATGGTCGAACGTTGCTAGCCTCTTCACGTCCGCTGCTTTAAGCGACCAGGTTTCGCAACCGTACAGTAAGGTCGAACGTACCACTGCATTGTACACTCTAACCTTCAGGCCGAGATTGATGTCGCGCCGCCGCCATTGGTGGCCAAGGTTAGCAAAAGCACTCCGAGCTTTCGCTATACGGTTCGTGATCTCGTCTTCGATCCCAAGGGCTCTGATACTACTTCCCAGGTAATTGAATTTCTGAACGACTTCCAGCTGATCCCCACTAAGGGTCAGTGTAGAAGGCGATCCCTGCCAATCTTGGAGGAACGCTTTGCATTTCGATGGTGCAAAGCAAAGCCCAAAGCGGATGACAGCCACTGCTAATCTGTCCAGCGCGGCTTGGCACGTCTGGGAGCTGTCACAGATGAGGGCAATGTCGTCTGCATACTCCAAGTCAAGAACTCGTTCTCCTAGGAGTAGCTCCACACTTTCCAAGTCATGTCCTGCAAATGCAATCTCCATGACTTCGTCAATAACGAAGTTGAAGAGGAAAGGTGACAGCGGGCATCCTTGTCTCACACCGCTGGAGACATTAAAGTGTGGCGACAGCTTGCCGTAAGCTCTCACCCTGCCCGTGCTACGCGCACATAATGCTCGGATAATATTTACATATTTATCGGGAACACCTTTCCTGAGTAAACAATTCCAAAGGGCACATCGATCAACCGAATCGAAGGCACCTTTGATGTCGAGGAACACGACAACGGTGGGCCGCCAATATGTGTGGCGGTGCTCCAACAACTGACGTAAGGTGAATATGTGGTCGATGCAGCCACGACCACGACGAAACCCGGCTTGCTCCTCACGAACCCGGCTTTCACGAGCGCCAGTCAGTCTGTGAAGAATTATGGAGGCGAGTAATTTGGAGACGATGGAGATCAGACTAATTCGTCTATGGTTGCCGCATTCCGAGCGCGAGCCGCTTTTGAAGATGGGAACAATAACGGAGCGGCTCCAGTCGGTTGGGACAGTCTCCTGCTCCCACAGTTTCACTAGTAATGCATGTAAAACACCAACAAGAGCAGAGCCTCCGAATTTGAAGAGGGCTGGATGGAGATCATCTGCTCCAGCGGCTTCGTTCAACTTCAACAGTCCGATCTCACGTTCGACCTCTGAGCGAGAGGGTGGATCCAAAGGGACGGCCCACGGAGCAGGGCGATCACTCGCCGGCGAAGAATCGAACAATTCTCGTCGATTAAAATGCTTTTCAAAATGCTCAGCCCAACGCTCCAAACATTTTGACAAATGGTGAATAGGCTGTCCACTCTCATCACAAATTGTTTCACTAACACCAGGCCTCCTGCTGCCCGTTTCCCGTATCAGACGGAATAGCTTACGATGGTTGCCAAGGGCAGCGGCCAGTTCCACCTCTGACGCACGATGAGACCACTAAGCTTCGCGGTCTCTCTTCAGGCTAGCGCGGAGTTTTGCCCGGAGTTCTTTGCGAGTTTCATTGTGCTCGCTTCCAGCCGGGATATGCCGGCGAGCGTCGATAAGTTCCAGAGACTGCGAAGAGACCCAATGTCCATGTTGGCGATTAGACATACCACATGAGGATGTGCCCGCTGCTAGTAAGGTCTGGCGAACATGTGACCAGTGACCATCAATTTTCTCCAGTGAGCGATTGCTCAACTCGCATGTCAGCGTACTTCGATACGCATTCAGGACAGCTGGCTTTGTCAGTTGGCTGGTGTCAATACGCTCACAGCGTCGTCGTGAGCGTCCGCCAAAGCGCATCCGCACGTCAGCACATACAAATGCATGATCGGTGTCCACACATGTGCTCCAAATCGAGCGACAATTATGGATTCAGCCTCTCCAGCGGTAACTAATAGCAATGTGATCGATCCGCGTCCAAGGCTGGTTCGAGGCTGGTGGACGCCAAGTCACCCTCCGGCGAGTGTTGTGTCGGAAATTAGCGCTCGCAAGAAATAAGCGAGCATCTTCACACAAATGAAGTAACCACTCACCGTTATCATTACGGGAGCCTACACCGTGCTGACCGCCCAGATGCATTTCATCAGTGGACAAGTTTCCAACTTGTGCGTTCATATCCCCCGCCAGCACAACAGTGTCCGTGCTTCTTCTGTGGCGAAGGATCTGAATCAGTTGGCGGTAGAAGTCGTTCTTTACCGAGTCATCGCTGCAGTTTGTGGGCGTGTAGGCAGCGATGATGAATAGACACCTATTAGTCCCGCGCGACTTCGAAGCTTTAAACGAGCCAGCCAATCGGACCGCACACATCCGGCTACTGATTGGAATCCAATCAACCAGAGCAGCTTCAGCCCGGGGACTCAGGGCAATGCCAACACCAGCTTGGCCGGTGCTCGAAGCTGCATCGTCACCATATAGGCGCACTGAGAAAATACTGCTTGCGTCACCTGAAGGGGATCGCAGAGTGAGCACAGAGCTCGAGTCTTGCAGGCGGGTCTCTGATAAGCAGCAGATATCGATCGAGAG